TAAGTTACAAAAATGTGGCCTGTTGTTCAATGCTCATTCAATTGTTTTTTTCTTTCAATTGTTTGAAGATATTTCATTATCTTCTGGCTTCCATTATTTAACGCACAGAAAAATGAATCATGTTTAAGCTATATGGTTTAATTTCTATATTTGATGCAAGATTTCCATGGCAACTTTATATTTTTTAGAACTTACATCAATTGTTTTTTTCTTTCAGTCCTTAATTAATGTTTAGTTCAATCACTAATTCAAAAAAATAAATTCTGTGAGTAAAGGAGAGAGTAGAAACACAGTGATTAATAATGTTAAGACAAAAACCACCTCTGGGAAGTCTATAGTACATTTAAAGAAAAAAAAATCTATAATAAAACTTCTCCTTGATATATGTATACAAAATTTTAGCATCATTAGAGATAACAGAGATGAATTTATCTTGGAATTTTATTATACCTGAGGTGTAATGATGAATATAAAATGAAAAACAAAACATTTATATGTATTGTCATTATGTCTTCATCACCTTTTTGACTAAACCCTTGTTTATTCAAAAAATGAGAAAGAAATAAACTAAGGTAGGTGGAATTATTGGGTGCAAATTTTTTTTTCCCTCTTCAGTTCATGGTAATTTTACAAGGTTCTCTCCTACTAAATTTGACCTCCAGCTTGCTTTGACAATAGAAAGAGTTGAAAGTGATGATATCCCATTTCTGGGCCTGGGTTTCATGAGGCTTTGCATGCTTCCTCTTATGCTTCGCCACTGTCACAAGAAGAATATGCCTGAGCTAATCCACTTGTCCCAGCAAGAGGAAGAGAGTCACGTGGGACTGTTGTATCAGTTAAGGCTCCCCAGCCTGGAGTAGAGTCACCTGGTAAATGTGCAAATGCGTGGTTAAGGGCACTGGAGATTAGCAGAGTTGGCAGGCAAAAGCCAGCCTATTTCAGTTGGTCTTCGGCTAACCCACAGATACATACACTATAGTTATAAATGACTTTTTTATGACCTTATGTTTTGGGATTATATATTATTCAGTGATAGCTAATTAACATGCGTACAAAAACATAACATAGTAAACAATTACCATATGTTCTAGAAAAGTTCCAGAATATTTCTAGAACTATATGAGAGACAAGTTCTCTTTTCCCCTTAAACCTCAAATACTTTTTCTTCTTTTTAAATCTCACCTAAAGTAACATTTCATCTAGTCCTGAAAGAAAAAGTGAAATGATTAGGTGAAAAATGCTAAGTGAAGAACATTTGAAATAGAAAAAAACAAGGTACAAAGATCCAAATTAAACAAAAAGCTTGAAGTGGTTTAAAAACAAATGTATGTCACCGTGGCTACACAGAATGGATGAGGTAGATGGCCAGGAGTTAGGACAAGTAAGCCAAATAGTAAGCACATAAAAAAGAGTTTTTACTCTTTTGGAAAAGCAATGAGAAACATTTTAAATAAAGGAAATAACAGATCTATTTAGGTTCTGAAAAAAATCACAATGGCTACTTTGAATCTTGGATTGTAGAAAGTTAACAACAATTCAGAAAAGAAATGATGTCATCTTCGACAAAGACAGAAAAAATAGAAGGAAATAGAAAGAACTGTATAAAATAGTTGTATAAATTAGATACAACTTACAAAACTTTTTGGTGGAGTGGCATTAGTAACAGTGAGAGATCACAGATGACTCCATTCGTGTGTGTGTGTGTGTGTGTGTGTGTGTGTGTGTTTCATCTACTATGTAATTGATAGTCCCATTTACTGAGATGGAAAAAAGAGTTAAGAATAAACAGTTTGGGAAAAATTCATCATTTTTACATACTATGCTACTGACGCCCATTAGACAAACATGTGGAATAAAAAGCAGAGATTAAATATGTATGGAGTTCAAGTGTGTTTTCTGAACAGGAAATATAAATTTGAGATAGATCAGCATAAATTTAAGGTAACAGGAACAGCATAATCTCAACTGAAAGAGAATTGTAAGAGAAAAGGAAATGAAAGATTGAGCACTAAAGCATTTTAACACATTATGCCTATGAGAGGCATGGGGTTTTATTGCAGTTACACTGTATTCTAGAAAGTGTAATGAATATTGAGTCTAGAACCTTTTGAATCTAGAGCAGCCCACCTTCTGTATAAGAGAGAGCAAAAGCCGGGCTGGGTGTGGTGGCTCACGCCTGTAATCCTAGTACTTTGGGAGGCTGAGGTGGGAGGATTGTTTGAGGGCAGGAGCTCAATACCAGCCTGAGCAAAAGCAAGATCCCATCTGTACAAAAAAATAGAAAAATTAGCTGGTCATGGTGGTACATGCCTATAATCCCAGCTACTTGGGAGGCTGAGGCAGGAGGATAACTTGAGGCCAGGAGTTTGAGGTTGTAGTGAACTATGATGATGTCAGTGCACTACTGCACTCTAGCTGGGGCAACAGAGCAAGACCCTGTCAAAAAAAAAAAAAAATTAGAAGGTAAAAGTCAAAGGAGAAGAGAAGCCCAAGGGAGGAGAAAAACTGGGAGTGTGAGATTGCATGGAAGCCAAGAAAGAATAGCCTTTCCGGGTAGCAGTTGACAAACAAAGTGAATTGTTTCCCAAGGTTTAATTAGAGTGAACACAAGAGTATATTGAATGTGAATATATAAAGCCCATGAGTCGTGACAACTGAATGATACCTTTTCCTGAATGGAGATCAGAAAAAAAGGCACTTTATGTCATCAGAGAAGTGAATCCAACGAACTATTTCTTTTATGATATGGGAAATATGAAGCATTGTCTTTGCTGAAGGGAATTATCTTTTTGAAAGTGGGAACTATCTAAAATGGTAAAAATTAATGAAAAGGTGAAAAGGGTTGAATTCCAGAGCACAAATTTAACAATTTTCCATCTAAAATAACAAGGAAATTCTTTCACTTTAGTCTGAGGAAAAGATGAAAAGTTAGGTAGAAATATAAAATAGGTGTTTATAGTGATGGAAATATTACAAAATTCATCATATTTTCAAGAACAGAGTTTAAGTGTAATTGCAATCAAAAGCCATACCTCTCACTGTTAAAAGGGTAGGTAGAACATAGTGCTACAGTTGGAAATCTTCTAACAACCTGCGGATACTCATGCACAAACATGGCAGGAGATATTAATAGCACCATGTAGAATGAGACTACAGAGCACCCCAAGAAATCTAAGAGCTCATTTGTTAAAAATAATACTTAAACAGAGATAGAATATATCACTTGTAACTATGTAATCAAAAAAAAAGAATCGACTGTTGTACATTGTTTGCTCCAATAACTATAAATTAATTGAAGAAAGTTTGACATGAAAAAAGCAATTTAAACAAGAAAAGGAACATACATAACAGCAAATCTTACTCAAAGACACAAAAGCTAAACACTGCAGAATAGTGAGAAAAATTTATGTCACTGGACTTTCCCAAACATGAAACCATGCTACACTGAAACCATTGTTCTTTCTTTGAATTGAGGTTATACCAGGAAAAAAAAAAAAAAAAAAAAAAAAAAAACTTCTTATAATACACTTTCCCAGAGGCTTGATGCTGAGGATGAGGGTTGAACTGCCTTGGAGATGTGAGAAATCTTGTCACACAAAAAAGATAACATCCTTTAGAATATAATCAGCAGGTATCCTGGATATTTTATCATCTAAAGCTAGTTTGCATTAACCTCTCTTTAAGACACGAAAAGCCCTGACTTCACTATACAATTAATTCATGTGACAAAATCAACCCACTGTATCCCCTAAAGTTATCAAAATAAGTTTTAAGAAAGAAATTGTCCATTTTGGATTACTCTACAAAATCAGTTTCTATATCTGAAATGTGGAGGACTTAGAATTGGAAAATATTCAACCTCAAAATTTCTTGCAGTGCCACTCAGGAAAACTCAGATTACACTGCTGTTGATACACCCCTACAGAATATGGCAGAATATTGCCTCATTTCAGAAACTTAATCACCTTAGAACTATCATTCTGGAGAAAAATGGGGGTTTCTTCTAAAAATGTGTAATCTTTGTGCAAAGCAATCTCCTTTCTTTTAGCTACTTCATGCTGCAATTTCTAACATAACTGGTTAAGTCATATTAATGACTTAATATGACTGGTTAAGTCATATTAATTACTTTCTGATTAAATACTTTCTGAGTTAATAATTATTTTATTTAGATTTAAAAATAAAGCCTATATTTAAATAATAGGAAAATAGTGGGCATAATGCTAGGCATGCATCTTCAGACTCATGTTAGTTGCTTTCTTAGTTTTCTACTCAACCTAGCTCTCTAGGGAAATCAACAACATAAGGGCGAGATGTTGAGGATGCTTGGATCCAGAGTCTTATTCATGAAGTTGCAATTGAATTTGACTCCAGTAGAACTAAATAGTTCTGCTTAACTACCCTTGGATTTCTGCCCAGCCATGGAAATAAAAACTCAGAAAAAGGGAAAATAGAAATGTGATAGAAAAGAAACAACTCACATCTATTTTGAGGATTAAATGTAGAACTATTCAATGCTAATTAGTTAGAATT